TATCGATCTCATAATCGATATCAAGATCCATCGTCTCAAATTTCAAATTATCCACTGATTGGGTTTTCTCAAGTGTAATTTGTTTTTGCGCTTTTGGCTCTGCGAAGGAAGCGGCGACAGAAAGGAACACTCGGGAGTGAATACTGCAGGGGAAACAATGGACAGGTTTCGACCAGAAATCACATAATTGTTTAAACCATGATGGTTGAAGACACGCTTAAACAATTGAGTTAAACACGTTGAAAACGCCGCGACGATGTTGGTCTTGGTTTTAGCAAATCAAGAGCCATGTCGAAAAACCATAAGAAGAACCGATATCGTTGGTTATCAAGTGGGCCGAGGTGAAGACGATCGGGGTGTCCTTCTGTGCCACACAGCGGTGCTTGCATGTCGCGGGCAGCAGATATCCGAGCATTGGTCGTCTGGGTCAGCACAGCCTCTCCGCCCGATTGCGCTGGCGCGCCGTCTCCAGTCTGGCGGCCCGCTGCTGCGTGCGTGCTGTGCGTGGCCTTCGCCGCTCACGAGGGAGGAACCGCTTGCCGCCGCCGTTAGCAAACGTGTCCCTCACATGAGGTACACGTTCGCCGAAGCCTGCTTGTCGTGCTCTGTCCATTCCACGCAGGCCTAGCCAGACGTCCAGGCATTGCAGTTGTACGTGGCGCCCTGCAGCAGCGCGTCGTTCGCCGCTGCCGTCGCCGTCGCCGTCGCGTCCGGTGTCGTCGCCCTAATGAGCGCCGGGCTCTCACGACCATGAGCGCCGCCGAGCTGTCCGTGCAGCTGTCTCTCCATCACCCTGCTCCCCAAGTGGGGCCTGCGATTTACCAGGCCCGCTGCCAGACCCGCCCGACCGGGCGCACCGCCGGGCCGACCCAACACTGGGCTTCTGGCCCTGACCCGCACTTCTTCGAAACCGCATGGGGCGCCAGAAGGGGAGGAGGCCGAGCTCGACGTCGCCGAGCTCCTGGTCCCTGCATGGCTCGCAGCTCGCGGACCATCCGCGGTCGGCGGCGCGCTGGCCCCTGACGCCGACGCCTCCTCGCAGCCTCCCGCCGTCGCCTCCCGGAAAGATCTGGTCCAGGTCGGCGTCGAGTTGCCATGCTGAGTCCCAATTCGGGCCAGTCCAGGACCACCTCGCTCCCAACCGAATGGGGACTCGCGTCGATGACTGCCAGTCCTCCAGTGCTCCGCGGAACAGCTGAGTAGATCTCACTCGGGCAACCTCTCCTCGCTCCGTGCTCCTGGCTGCCTGGCTCGCCGTCGCACAGTCTGCTGCTACCCCGCTGTTCCGCCTCGAGCTGCACCGAGGAGGCGCTGAACCGAATCCTCGGGAACCTTGGCGTATCTAGCAGGCTGCGCAGCAGCCGAATCCACGGATGCAGCAGCCGACCCAGCGGTGATTTCCTCTTGCGATGGCTCCGCTGGGGCCCCGGGGGCGGCCGCCTGGCTGTCGGTGTCTGCGGAGATGGCCCGACTGCCTGCTCCTGGCGTTGGCGGCGCTGCTGAGGCTTGACCGCCTGGCTGCTCCCCGACGAGGGGGGGAGAAGGAGGGAGGGAGGAGGAGGGAGGGAGGAGGAGGAGGAGCAGGAGGAGGAGGAGGAGAAAGTAGAGCAGGAGGAGGAGGAGGAGGAGGAGGAGGAGGAAGAAGAACAGGAGGTCTGGTGAAAGATTTCGGGAGAGGCGGGGGAGAAGGGCGCAGCCAGGAGGATTCGTGACATGTGGAGCAGGAGTGTGCGGAGAGGTTGGACAGTGCTGCGCAGTGGGCTGGGCAGGGCTGTGCAGTGGGTTGGGCAGTGGTTTAGCAACGAGCATTTCGATGACGACTGCCTTCTGCAAAAGAAAGTGGGAAGGTGACCAAAGCCTTGGACATGATCGCGCGAGCGGAGGACGACGATGCTCGGTGTCTCCCCACAGCCGCCATGTCACCGACTCTCCTTGATGTTTCTGCTCCGTTCTCATCATGTTCCTCGTTCCATGCCTGTCCCATGGCACGAGTAGCATATACGTGCGGAGTGGGGAGCCCGCATGATATTACGCTGCGCTTTATGTTCGTCCCAGTGTTGCCCTTGATTGTTGTAAGTTTGGAGACCCACGCCGCACCCGACCACATGCAACTGGACATGCCGTGCGATCAGCACCGCAGGCCGCTCTGCAAGCCGCCAGAGCGGCCCATCTCGCGACCCGTCCCCTGACCCGCTTGTGACCCGTCCGTCCCGCGTCTCGCAGACAGTGCTCTGAAGAGAAAATTTGGCTACTTCGGCGGATTCTCTGCCTCGCAGGAGGAACACCACGAACACAAATGTTCGGAGCTCCGCGCGCAGTTCTTGGACCGGCGCCCTGCCACCCTGTCAGTATTTCATATATATATATACATATATAACGTTGTATAGTTATATACATAAATGCATGCATACATGCATGCATACATACACACATCCATACATGCATTCATGCATGCATGCATACATAGACACGCACACACCTACATACATACATACATCCATACATACATACGTACATACACACCTACACACATATATATAGAGATATTACACATGCACACATACATCCACCCATGCATACACACATGATTGCATGTATGTATGCATGCATGCATGCATGCATGCAAACATACATACACACATACGCACATACATACATACATACATACATCCATCCATACATCCATCCATACATACATGCATACATACATACATACACACATATATGCATACATGCATACATACATACACACATGCATTTATACATACATACAAACATACAGACACACATGCATGCATACATACATACATACATACATATACACATTCATGCAGGTGCATGCCCATGCATACATGTACACATACATACATGCATACATACGTGCGTATACGCATTCATTCATTCTTTCATTCATTCATTCATTCATATGTACATATATACATACACACATGCGTATACACATACATGCATGTATGCATGCATGCATGCATGCATGCATACATACATACATACGTACATACATACATACATACATACATACATCTATACATACATACATCTATACATACATACACACATACATACATACATACATACATGCATACATACATACCAATGGTACCCCAAGCATACTAGTTGGTGGGCTGTTGGGCTATAGGGCTATATGGCTTTAGGACTGTGGGGATATAGGGCTAGAGGACAATAGGGCTACTGGGCGCTTGGCCTGTAGGGCTATAGGGTTATCAGGTATTGAGCTAGTGGGCTATTGGGCTGTAAGGCTCTAGGGCTATTGGGATATAAGGCTAGAGAGCTATTGGGCTGTGGGGCTATAGGGCTACAGGGCTGCAGGGCTGTAGGGTTATTGGGCTATTTGGCTATAGGGCTATAGGGCTAAAGTGCTGTAGGGCTGTAGGGGAGCACCCGGGCACGGGCGGACCGCCGAAGTCGGCGAGGCAGCTCCCGGGCACCTCGGCACCTGGGCAGCCGGGCGGGCCGCTAAAATCGGCGGCGCAGCTAACCTGACCATGTGAATCCGCTAGGAGCCCTACAGAGGCAAGCTCTGATTGGAAAACAGTCAAACAGACAAACACACACATAATCATACATACAATCATCCTACATGCATGCATCCGTCCATCCATCCATCCATACATACATGAATCCATACAGGCACACATACAAACATACATGCACACACATACATACACACGCACATACATACACACGCACATACATATCGACAGACAGACAGACAGACAGACAGATAGACAGACAGACAGGCAGACAGGCAGACAGGCAGACAGGCAGACAGGCAGACAGACAGACAGACGTGTATCGATTCCCTCATTCATAGAGAACTGACCCGGGACAACTTGGGGCCCGGCAGGGGGGGCTGAGTCCAGAGCGCCCGTGGAGGGCCCAAGACGGCCATGGAGGGTCCCAGGAGGGCCCAAGACGGCCACGATGGGCCCGAGATGGCCCAAAATAGGCTCGAGATGACCACTCGACGGCCCAACGGTCTCCCCAGATGGCCCAAGGGGGCCCGAAGACGACCCCCCAGAGGCCCCCGGGAGGCACAAATTATTGGTGTTCGTTCGGTTTCGGGGCCATTTTCGCATACTCGGTTTCTCGGTGTGCAGAGCGCTGGAGATGGCCGAAGAGGCCCACGAGATCGCTCCAAGATGGCCCAATAGGCGCCCAAGAGGACCCGAAGACGAGCCCAGGACGGCCCAAGACGAGCCCAGTACGGCCAAGAGGGTCTCGATGGCTTCAGACGGCTCAAGAGGGCCCCAACATGGCCACCAGACCGCCCCAGAAAAGCCCCAAGAGGCCCCCAAAATTTCCCATCAAGGCGGCCCAGGAGCCTCACGAATGCCTCGAGACAGCCTCAAGAGACCCCGAAGAGGACCCACTCGGGACCCTGCAGTAGTACGGCGACGGTCAGAACATCAATCGATACATGGATCTATATACACATGTTTTATATGCATCCATGCAGATGTATGTGTATATATATAATTCAAGGAGTGTAGATCGATCAATTCCCCCCCTCGGGGGCAAAACTATATCCGTATCCACCGTAGGGTGCCAGGACTTCGGTATTCCAGGCGGCTGGTGCGGATGAATCCATCCCCGCCTTGCGCAGCCCGCCTCGGCTGACCACACGCGCGCCCGAGCTCCCGAGGAGGCCCGCTCCACGAGGGCCGCCGTTGCGAAGTGGCGCCTGCTGGAGTACCGCGACGCGCTGACGGCGCAGGCGCCGCCAGCGCCCGCGCTGGGGAAAGAGAGAGAGAGAGAGAGAGAGATGGGGGAGAGAGAGAGAGAGAGAGAGAGAGGGAAAGAGAGAGAGAGAGAGGGAGAGAGAGAGAGATGCATGCTTAGACTGTGAGAGAGAGAGATTGGGGTGAGGAGAGGCATGTTTTCTAATGACGCCTGGGGCGTCTCGGGACATTCCTTGGCACATGTGTGAGTTTTTTGTCGGATGGTGTCGTGGGGCCTCTTTGGCCGTTCCGCAGGGTCGTCTGGGGCTCAAACATCATTTGTGGCCGTCTTGGTCGTTCCTGGGCGTTGGCCTCAGGCCGTCTTGGGACTCTGGGCCCCAGCGTGGGGCCGGACGAAAGGGTAGGACAGGGAAAGGGGGTTTGCGCAATCAGCTGCATGCAGCTGGCTTCGGCCCCGCCGCCGGGTCCACCCCTCGATACACGGGCGCCTCCCGGCGCCAGGAGGCATCAGGAAAACGAGCTACGCGAGCTGATCCTCTGCCTTGCCCTTTGCTATCCTACCCTCTTGTGCCCCACGACAGTGGGCTCTGCCGAGGCCACCTCGGCAGGAGCTCTCTGGGTCTCCTGGATGGGGTCGTATTAGTTGGGGTCGGAAGATCGAGCCGCATCGCCGATACATCGCCGATGCGGCTCGATTTGGAGCCCCTGTTTCCCCAAACCAACGTCGCCGATGCACTGCCGACGTCGCCGATGCATCGCCGATGCATCGCCGATGTATCGGCGATGCGGCGCGATCCTCCGGCCCAATCTACTCGAACCCTATCTAAGGGGCTTCCACCTTTGCTATCCTACCCTTTCGTGCCCCCAGACAGCGGGCTCTGCCGAGGACACTTCGGCAAGAGCTCGAGGACAGCAAATCGTATGTTACGTTGCAGCTTCGGGGGACCTCGCCTGTCCCCAAAATTGGTGTCTTCTCTTGTGCCTGGCGCGGGCTCAATGCGGACTCGACGCGGATTTGGCGCGGACTCGGCGCGGATCCGACGCGGATCCCACGCGGAGCCGACGAGGCCGACACGGATTCGACACGGATCCGACGCGGGGCGGGGCCGCGACGGGACAGACGGGGTCCCCAAAGACGCCACGCGGCTCGCCGTTGTCGTGCCCCCCGACACTAGGCTCTGCCGAGGCCGCCTCGGCAGGAGCTCGCGGGCAGCCCATCGCAAGGGCGCCCCGCCCTCCCCCCCTCGGGTCCGCGGGCCAAGGCTGGGCGCGGCTCGGGAGCAGCACAGCAGAAAAAAACAAGACGCGAGGGGGCACGATCGCTCCGAGATCAAGGCGGGCCTGTCCCTCTCTACCGGAGGCATCTTCCCAAGTCTATACTCAGGAAATAGTCCGGGGACGGTGCTTTGACGCTTTTTGCCCAATTTTGGGGGGTATTCTTTGTGAGTATTTCTTGACTTTCACCCAAGATCCCCCTGTAGGGGGACACGCCCGACTTCACTCCGAGAGCCTCGCTAATACCGACGACGAGGCCATAATGGCGAGCGACGACGACGACGACGACGGCGCTCCGTTACTGCCTGTAATTCTTCACGCTTCGCGTATCCCCACCAGCCCATCTCAAAACAGCAACTCTTGGGAAGCATGCCGACAGTCGTGTTTTTCAGGCGTGTGTCCGCGTGCCCCCGCATATCTCCCTTGTTCCTCCTTCCTCCCGCCTCCTTGTACATCCTCCTTGTGGTGGGAGCGGGAGGGACGAGGCGGAGGAGGAGGGAGAGAAAGCGGTGGGAGGCAAGAGGGATTTAGCGGAGACGACGACCAAAGCGATGATCCTAACAACGACGACGCACCCGACGACGACGACGATATCGACCGCAACGACGACGACGACCACAACCGCGACGACGACGACGACGACGACGACGACGACGACGTCGACGACGACGACGACGAAGGCGGCGGCGACGACGACGACGACGACGACGACGACGACGACGACGACGACGACGACGACTGGTGGGAGTCGTTGGGGCCCCTTGTGGTGTGAGTCGTTCGGCCCCATCGTCCTGGTGTGAGTCCTTCGGGCCCTTCTTCCTGGTGTGAGTCGTTCGGGCTCCTCGTGGTGTGAGTCGTTCGGGCTCTTCGTCCTGGTGTGAGCCGTTCGGGCTTCTCGTGGTTCGAGTCGTTCGGGCCTCTCGTCCTGGTGTGAGTCGTTCGGGCCCTTCTTCCTGGTGTGAGTCGTTCGGGCTCTTCGTGGTGTGAGTCGTTCGGGCTCTTCGTCCTGGTGTGAGTCGTTCGGGCTTCTCGTGGTGTGAGTTGTTCGGGCCCCTCGTCCTGGTGTGAGTCGTTCGGGCCCCTCCTCCTGGTGTGACTCGTTCGGGCTCCTCGTGGTGTGAGTCGTTCGGGGCCCTCGTCGTGGTGTGAGTCGTTCGGGCTCCTCGTGGTGTGAGTCGTTCGGGCGCCTCGTCCTGGTGTGAGTCGTTCGGGCCCCTCCTCTTGGTGTGAGTCGTTCGGGCTCTTCGTGGTGTGAGTCGTTCGGGCCCCTCGTCCTGGTGTGAGTCGTTCGGGCTCCTCGTGGTGTGAGGCGTTCGGGCACCTCGTCCTGGTGCGAGTCGTTCGCGCCCCTCGTAGTAGGAGTAGTAGTAGTAGTAGTAGTAGTAGTAGTAGTAGTAGTAGTAGTAGTAGTAGTAGTAGTAGTAGTAGTAGTAGTAGTAGCAGTAGTAGTAGTAGTAGTAGTAGTAGTAGTAGTAGTAGTAGTAGTAGTAGTAGTAGTAGTCGTAGTAGTAGAACTAGAACTAGAACTAGAACTAGAACTAGAACTAGAACTACTAGTAGTAGTAGTAGTAGTAGTAGTAGTAGTAGTAGTAGTACATGATGTAGTAGTAGTAGTAGTAGTAGTAGTAGTAGTAGTAGTAGTAGAAGAAGAAGAAGAAGAAGCAGAAGAAGAAGCATAAGAAGAAGAAGAAGAAGAAGAAGTAGTAGATGTCTTTTGGGAGCCTCTTGGAGGCCTTTTGGGGCGTCTTCGGGGCCTCTTGGCGGCCCCAGGGGCTTCTAGGAGCGTCTTGGGTGCCTTGGGGGAGCCTCTTCGGGCCTCTTGGGAGCCTCTTGGAGGCCGTTTGGGGCGTCTTGGGGGCCTCTTGGCGGCTCCAGGGGCTTCCAGGAGCGTCTTGGGTGCCTCGGGGGAGCCTCTTGGGGCCTCTTGGGGGCCTCTTGGGGGCATCTTGGGGGCCTCTTGGAGGCCTCTTGGGGCCTCTTGGGGCTCTTTGGGAGGGGTATGGGAGGAATCTTGGGGCCATCTGTGGGCGATCGATCACAGATGGGGCGAGCATTTTTCTCCCTCCCCCCGTCGGGGCCAGAATCCTCGTGAGGGTTGTCGAATTTTAGCCCTCCCAGGAGTCGAAAAAGACCCCTCCAACCACCCGCGAGACGCCCTCTCCAGGCCCAGGGGGAGGGGGTAGGGGGAGGGGTAAACCCCTCCCCGAAGGGGAAAGAAGGGGGGTTGAGAACAGAGAGAGCTCGCTAAACCACTCACGCCCAAAGGGCTGGTGGGATTAGGGCGATGGCGACGACGAGGCCATAATGGCCTCGTCGTCGCCATCGCCCCCGCGCGCTCGCGAGGGCCTTCTCGGGGGCCACGTTCGGGGGGGGGGGGCGGGGTCGGGCGCGAGGTTCTTTCGGCGCCGCCGCCGGTGCTTCTCGGCGGCTCCCCCGCACCGGGGTGGCTTTTTCAGCAGCCGCGCGCCTCGCCGGAAGCCTTCCGCCGGGGTTGCCCGACGCGGCCCGAGCAGCCGCCGCTGAGCCGAGTGGTGCCCCGGAAGCCATCGGAGGCGGAGAGACCTCCTGCCCTGACGCGTCGATGAAGGAATTGGCCGTGGTCGGTTCGCGAGAGGGCGTCGCGGCCGTCATCTTGGCGGGTCCAGGTCCGTCGGCTTCGGTCCCAGGCCATGTTCACCAAGGGGAGGTTTGCTAAAGGGAGGTTTGTCCACCGCCGAAACCAACAGGCCCAAGGCTCAGGAGGGAACGCATCGACCCCCTCTCTGTCCCCCCCTCTCTGTCCACCCCTCGCCTCTGCCTCTCTCCTCCTCGTCCACTGTGCTGTCTCCTCGCGCCCCCCTCCTGTCCTCGTGCGTCCTTCGCCGCTTCCCTGCTGCTCGGAACTTCGACCTCCTCAGAGGTTGCGCCGTGTGTTGCTCCGTGGTGTGGGGGGGGGGGTGCACCACATGTTCCGAGACAAGTTGCATCATAGGCTGCACCGCAGCTTGCGCTGGAGGTTTCGTTAGAAATCGTGCCAAGTGGTGTGCCACGGGAAGCGTCATCTGTTGTTCCTTGGGAGGTTGGGCTCTAGGTAGTTCCATAGAATGCGCCATGGGTTGCGCCTCGGGTTGCGTGCCAGGTTGCGATGCAGGGTTCGCCGTGGAAGGCTGCGTGCGCCGGGTGTTACGTCATGGGTTGAGCCATACATTGCACAATGGGAGGTCAAGCCACGCTCTGCGCCATGGGTTGAGCCACAGATCGTTACGCGCGAGGTGGTGCTGAAGGTTGCTTCGCAGATTGCGCCCACGGCTGCTGAAACCTTACAAGTGAATGCTGTCCTTGGTGGCGCCATAGTTTGTGCCGCTGGCACCAAAACTGGAAACGACTTGCTGGTTGCTGCGATATTGCTTGTGCCCTCCGCCACCGAAGCGTGAAAGGGTACGCTACCTGCTGCGGGATAGGTTTGCGTCTGCGGCCGCCGAATCTTTTGAACGGCTTGATCGTGGTTGAACCACAAGTTGCGCCCTCGGCCGCCAAAGCTGAAAATTGTAATTAGTTGGAGCTCTCGTCGGACTCCTCGCATTCGTTTCCGTATTGGCGTTCGTCTTTGGTTTTGGTTTCGTCGTCGGTGTTGCTTTTCTTGGTCTTGTTCCTCCGTCATCCATCCCCCGCCAGTGCTCGTCCCCGCCTTTCCTCTTGTGATCTAGGCTTGCACTTCCTTGCAGGTTGCGTACCGTGTTGAGCCGTGTGTGGGTGGTGTGTCGGGCGTGCTTTGGGCTCCAGGGATGCTCCGGAGTCTGGGTCGGGCCCCGGGTTGCGCCACAGGGTGCGCCTCGCTGCGCCACAGCTTGCGCCCGTCGCCACAAGGGCCTCCTGTCCGTTGCGCCGCGCCGTGCGCCCTCGGCCTCAGAACGCAGAAGCTGCCTGCCAGCGGGCGCGGCCAGTCGGTCTGCCAGTGCGGCAGGCAGCCGGTCACGCCAGCCGAGACAGGCCGGACGGCGCCCAGAAGCAAGACCTGCAACCGGCGTCGCTGGGCGATGTGGTTGCACCTGGGGCCGTCCTCGGGCCGCTCCTGCGGCAGCCGCGCCGCCCGCTCTCCTCCCTCCTCGTGTTCCTTTCGTCCTCCTCCTGCTCCTCCTCCTCCTCCTCCTCCTGCTCCTCCTGCTCCTCCTCCTCCTCCTCCTCCTCCTCCTCCTCCTCCTCCTCCTCCTCCTCCTCCTCCTCCTCCCCTCGGTCGTCCTCTGGTTATTCTTCGTGCTATTCCCCGCGCCCTGAGTGGGGTCCCCTTCTCCTTCTCGTCCACCCTCCCTCGTCCCCCGCTGCCGCCACTTGAGCGGCTCCCACCCCTCCAGGGAGGCCCCGCCGGAGCGAGCAGTGTGTTGGGAATACCATGTCTTCAAGCAGGGCGCAGGAGCACCAGGTCGTTCATCGGGCCCCTTGCCGCCCCTCAGCCACGCGCAGAGGGGGGTGGGAGGAGGGGGGAGGGCTTCTTAGAAGCACCCCTACTTCTTAGAAGGCGCGGGCCTTATCTATAGATGTGGGGCCGCCGCCTTCTAAGAAGCAGCCTCCTTCTAAGAAGCCCTCCCCCTCCCTCCACCCCCTTGTGCGCGCCGCCAATCTCCCACCCCTCTAGGGAGTCCCCGCCAGAGCGAGGAGGATCTCGGAGCACCATGTCACGTGTCAGACTTCGTACCCCTCCCACCCCGCCAGGGAGACCCCGCCAGAGCGAGGGCGGCATCAGGGTACGATGTTATGCATCAGGTGCCGTGCCCCACCCACCCCTTCAGGGAGGCTCCGCCAGAGCGAGGACTGTATAGGGGTATAATCTTTGTTATCAGGTTTCGTGCCCCCCCCCACCCCGTATCAGGTTTCGTGCGCCCCCCTCCCCCCCACCCACGCCTCCAGGTAGGCTCCGCCACTGCGGAGAATGCATCGGGATACATTGCTATTTATTGATTTTCACGTGTCGTACCCCTCTCACCCCTCCAGGGAGGCCCCGCCAGAGGGAGGAGGGGTATCGAAACACCATACTATTTTCAGCGTTTCCTGCCCATTCCACCCCTTTTAGGGAGGCCCCGCCAGAGCGAGGATATCATCGGAATGGCATACTATTTACCAAGTTTCGTGCCCCACCCACCTTTCCAGGGAGGCCCCGCCAGAGCGAGGAGGGCACCGGAATAGCATTTCATTTGCAATGTTTCTTGGCCCTCCCACCCTTCCAGGGAGGCCCCGCCAGAGCGAGGAGGGTATTGGAATCCAATATCATTTGAAAGGCTTAATGTCCATCCACCCCTCCAGGGAGGCTCCGCCAGAGCAAGGGCGGTATCGGGATACCAAACGAATTACAAGTTTCCGTGCCCATCCCACCCCTCCGAAAATTTGTAATGCATTGCGATGCAGCTGCGCCGAATACCACACCCACAACGATCCTACGTGGATTTCGGCACTTATGCCGAAATCGCGCTGGCAGCTGACCAGCCACATCGCCGGCCCTGCATGCCCGCGCGCGCCACTGCGTTCTGCTGCCGTGACGCGTGCTGCTGTCAACGGATGAACCAAGTGACGTTGCATGGTGGTTTGGCTGTGCCCAATCACCATGTAATGAATGTCTGTTGGTAGCGGAGCTTGGGATCTTGTCGCCGCCGACAGCGCTGCCACACCATACCTTTCAATTGCATCTCAGAGCACGGTCGTACATCGACCCTGGGTCGGATCGCCGGGGATCCAGTGGCATGGGTGCACATGCGTTGCGCCGTTGGTGGTGCCAAAACCCTTTGTGTAAAATTCCTTTGTGTGTTTTTCTGGCTCCTACTCCAGAGAAGCCCCGCCAGAGCGATGGGGGCATCGGAGTGCCATACTATTTGCCGAGTTTCGTGCCCCACCCACCTCTCCAGAGAGGCCCCGCCAGAGCTCTGGGGTCATCGGAAAGTCAACTATTTAGAAGGGTTCGCGCCCTTCCCGCCCCTCCAGTGAGGCCTGTCAGAGCGAGGAGGGTATCGGAATATATGTACAATTTGCTAGGTGTTCGCCCTGCTATACAAAAAGGGAGGGGATCCGTCCTGAACAGCCATCATCCTTTTCCATGCTGGTCCGCGTCGGCCCTTCCATGATAATACATGAACGGCATGGGTTTTTTTTCATACCACTTCTGTGCCCCGCTGATCCCGCTAGCCCCGTAACATCTTTATGTGGGGAAATCATGTTACGTGTTTTGGTGTTTGAGGTTACGTGGTGATGCACAGAGCCCAGTCGGGATACGTGACGATTCTATCGCTGTGCGCTTTTTGTGTCCTGTGTTTCGCGATGCCGTCGATGCTTAATCCTTCATCCTGGCGCCTTTCTCAGGGCCTCTCCTGCGCGTCCTGGTGTCTCCTGGGGACCCTCTTTGGGGCAACTTGGGGCTCGCCCGGCGTGGTGGCACGCTCTCGGGCTGTCTTGACGACGTCCCGGAGGCCCCGTAACCTGACACCGATCCCTGAACCGGAGAGGGCGGCTTCTTGGAGAGCGTGCAGGATCGGGGGTGGACAGAAACCCCACCATGACACGTCGATTCGTGAATTGTCCGTTTTCGGTTCTCGAGAGGGCGCCGCGGCCGTCATTTTCCAGATTTGCGCCCGCCAGGTTTGGGCCCGAGGTCGTTGTCACGGATCCAAGTTTTGACTCCAGGGGGTTCTGCGCATCCCCGATCTGAGCGACTGCAGTCCCAGTTTCTTGGGGTGTTCGCGCACGCCCTGACAGCGTCGAGTACCTGAGCCTGCCCCCGGCGCATCCCGAGATCCTTCACGCTCTGTTGGCGCTCTGGGCCGCCCCGCGGCCCTCCTCCATTCTCGGGGGGTGCTGGAAGTGCCCCTGGCCTTAGGTCGGGCGTGCCCCCCCCCCCACAAGGATATTTTGGCAAAATACTCAAACAAATACTCGAACCAAAAGATCAAAAACACTCCAACCCTCGCCCCCCTCTTTTGTTGTAACTATTTCCGGATATTCCTCCTGTAGAGGAGACAGGCCCGACGTACCTGGCGCAAGGTGCCCCCATTCTTTCGCTCCATTTTGGAGCCCCTCGGGCCCCGTGGGCATCGTCAGGGGTGCCCTGAGGCCGTGGGGGCCGCGTTGGACATCATGAGGGTACCTTAGGCCAGGGGCATTTTAGCAGCACCCTGCCCTCGGCTCCCTCCCCCTTGTTCCTGCGTGCGCAAGTCGCTCCCGTATCGCCCCGTCGTTGGCCAACCGTCTGCTGGGCCCAGCTCGCCGCTGATCAAAGAAAGTGTTTGGAAGGTGCGTTCTCTCATCCCTAAGCTAGGGAAGCGGATAATGACATAAACATAAACACTCAGAGGTCCGCGCGGATTTTTCTGATCGGCGCTGGACCCCCCTGGCGGCGCCGCCGGCGCCGCCCCTGGCGCGCTTCGCGCGCCAGCGAGGGGGGTCCAGCGCGGATCAACAAATCCGCGCGGACCTCCGAGTTGTTATGTTTGTGTAAGTGTTCGCTCCCCTGTGCGCCAGAGAGGGGGGTCCAGCGCGGATCCAAGAAGTCCGCGCGGACCTCCATTGTTACGTTTATGTATTTGCTCGTTCCCCTGTGAGCGACTCTGCCTCGCTATCCCTCCCCAGGCCGCGTGCGCACGTCAACTCAGAGTGCACACTTGCCCCTCCGACGCGCCAGCTACCCCACTCGGCGGGCAGCGTCACGGGACACGTTGCACCGTAGGCGCAGGGCTTCCATGTGGCCCCAGGGTGAAGACGCCTCCGGTCCGCCAGGAGCGCCGCCAGCTTGTCGATGCGCTGGGCGTAACCAGGGTCAACGACATCAGTGGCACCGAGGCGCCTGCCATGGGCATGTGGGCGGCGGGGTGCCGAGGAGGAGCGGTGGGTGACCGCTATAGTCGCGGGGGGATGTACACAGCGGTGACGGGTTAATCCAGGTCTGGTCGTAGATGGTCGGCGGTTTGACTCGTTCGGGTGGGAGGGGATATGGAAACCGCGGGGGGAGTTTGGGGGTAATCAAGGCGGAGATGAATATTTGCGTTGCAGTGTTGCTAGAAGGGGTTGGGCCAGGGTGGCATCCAGGGTGCAGTTGCGGCTGTGAGTGGGACTCGGTAGTTTTGCTGAGGACCTTGGGGTGAGCTTTCGTCGCAGCCGGGGGATTCGAGATTCAGTACAGTCGCGACGCTGAAGAAGGAACCCTGTTCGTTGGGGAGGGACTCCGTGTTCCGTATTTTGTTTCACAGTTTGCCTTAGGCTGTCTTTTGGTTTTCGATGTGAATTCGAAGATTAATGTATGGAAGAGAGGGGCCTCGTTCCCTATTTGGGGCTCCTTAGGTCAACACTCCGACTGCAAGGGAGAAGCGACACGAAGGGGTGCCGAGCCACGCAGTCACGGTTCGTGGCGGCGGATCCACATCGGGGTTGGGACATTTGGCCGGCATTTGGAATCGGGGGTGGGGATGATGGCAGGGTTTGGCCAGCGGTGCGGGCAATGTCTATATCCACATCCAGTGTGTCTTGGAATTTCGGACTTTGTGCCCAAGAAACATGAGGCGCACTGGATATGGATTATAATCTGCCTCCAAAAGGCTAAATTTTTATCCGTAACCAGTGCGCCTCGGCCTTGCGGCGCCCCTTCCAAGAAAGTCCAAGACGCAGTGGATATGGATATACATATTGCCCGCAAGCGGTGAGGGCGGTTGTCTGGGCGTTGATGCGAAGCGCGGGAGGGGGAGCTGCTATTCCAGCCATGGCGTACGGATATGTGGATGGCCGTCTTGGACCCGTTGTCAGTCGACCGCGCACGCGATGTTGCACAACAGGCATGCGACAAATAAACATGTGGGCGGGTCTCTTGTCGATGGTGATTCTCTCGCAGGCGTTGTTGTGCGTTTTCGTATGAGGTGCTTGCATCCAGAAGCATCGACGTTGGCGGCGAGATTGACGCGGATCGGAGTACTATCTTTTATGATACGTCTTTCGCCTCTTCATACGAATACCGTTTTCCCTACACAATGTACGGCTCTGCCTTGAGTAATCAGATTGACGCGTTCTTCTGTGTAAGGTGTTTTTAGTTCGCACGCGTTCGTTCTGAAGAGACAGCGCCCCGCGTCTCCTCCACCTCCTCCTTTCTCCTCCCTCCTCCCCCTCCTTGCCTGTGTCCTCCGCATTACATTTCGGTACACCCTGCACACGTTTAGAGGCCCCATGGGGAGCACCACCGAAGGTCCAAGTGGCGGTGTTCCCATGCGTTTCCCCCACCCAGTGCAGCGTTTCGTGGCCCCGTAGGGAGCTCCACGGAAGGCTCCAGTGGCGGCCGCTGCCCCATCTCAATCGAAGGCCCCAGTGGTGGTGTCCGCATGCGTCTCCCCACTCCAGCACGTACAGCGTTACGTGGCCCCATCGGGAGCTCCACTAACGGCCCCAGTGGCGGTGTTCGCATGCGTTTCCCCACTCCAGTGCAGCGTTTCGTGGCCCCGTAGGGAGCTCCACCGAAGGTTCCAGTGGAGGTGTTCGCATGCGTTTCCCCCATCCAGTATAGCGCTTCGTCGCTCCATGAGCTCCACCAAGGGCTCGGTGGCGGTCCCGCCCCATTGTGGCGCACCCCTCACACGTTTCGCGGATCCATTGTGGGTTCCGCTTGAAGCCCCAGTGGCAGCGCCCACATGGCGGCCCGGCCCCATATCGGCACACCCGTCGCATGTTTCATGGCCCCATGAGGAGATCCCCCGAAGGCGATACCCGCAACGACTACACTCACAACTGCGTACCGTTGGGTCCTTCGCCAGGATAAGTTGCATGCGTTCTTCTTCACCTCCACTTTGTTTGGCTTGCAAATCCGCAACCGAGACTCTGGGGCTTCCTGGGCCGTCTGTGACCCTATGGGACGTTGTGCATTACCATGCGCCGCAAGTCAATGCTTCGAGGCGCCCCCAGGGTGAAGTAGGAATCTGCGTGCGCCGTCTGGTTATTCTCGGTCAGTTCGCCGGGGGGGTGCGGAAATGTTGATGGTAGTGTCAGTCTGGTTCAATGTCGCAGTCGTGGATGATCTGGTCGTCTTAGTCGGGGCGTGAGGAGGAGTGGCGATCGTGGATCGGGACCAGGGGAAGGGGGGGGGGAGGCGAATGCGAATGGAGTCTTAGCGATATGGGGGGGTGGGGTGGGGCAGTTGGGACACTGCTCCTGCCCAGACGTTCTACAGGTCGGCCAGGGCCAGGACGGCCCAGACGTGGGCAGGCCCGGGTGTCTGGCCAGGGCGCCTCCCGGCGGTCCCGTGCATTGGCCCTGCAGCTCGGTGGAGCTGCGCCCGCACGCTCGGCTGCCGTGTGGCGCTGCGCTGGCCTCAGAGCCACGGGCCCCTTTGTCTCCTCCTCCTCCTCCTCCTCCTCCTCCTCCTCCTCCTCATCCTCCTCCTTCTCCATTCCTCCCCCCCTCCCTCCTCCTCATCCTCCTCCTCTCCTCCTCCTTCCTCCTCCTCCTCCTCCTCCTCCTCCATTCCTCCTCCATTCCTCCTCCTCCTCCTCCTCCTCCTCCTCCTCCTCCTCTCCTCCTCCTCCTCTTCCTCCTCCTCCTCCTCCTCCTCCGTCTCCTCTGAGTGGCTCACGCTTGCAAGGGTCCGTGCGTGTGGGGGGCCCAGTAGCAGACATATCGTTTCCGCGGGGGGGGGGGGGAGCACGCGCTGTGCGCATGGCGCTCCAGGGCTGCCAGACTGGATTGCCACTATGGGTTTGCCTGGTTGGCCCACACGTGTTTTCTAGCATCTAGCATGTGACGGCCCCTTCCGAAGACTCTCGTCTTCTCAGCCGCAGATGCTTCAATGCATGCAGGTACGGTGCGAGACGTACTGCGCGATATGATACCCCAGCCGCAGATAGTTGAGACAGGTTTGATCCTTTCTCCTCGTCTGCACCTCCCTTCCTTCTCTCGGCTTTTCTGTGTCGCCCCTCCTGCGTGTGCTCTGGGGCCAGACGGGTCGCTCCCTGGGTGGCCGGCTCTCTTCGCCCCGCTCTGTTGTTGTTTCTTTCTTCCCGCCTAGTCTACAGGAAGAAGATTCTAAAATAGTTTCAAGAAGTAGTCTGGGGACGATTGTTCTTTTATGCCTGATTATTTTTGGATTATGTTTGACTTTTTTGTTTTTCCTCCAAAGCCCGCCGCTGGCTGCTGCTGGCTGCGCGGGTCTCTGCTGGCTGCGCGGGTCTCTCCGTCCCGCTGGCTGCGCGGGTCTCTCCGGTTGTAGCCGCAGGGCTCCGCGAAGAGGAGGTTCAGCGCGAAGAGGAGGAGCGAAGGGAGATGATGACGGTGGGGAGGAGGAGCAGGATTGTGAGGAGGAGGGGGGGAGGAGAGGGACTACGCGGAGGAGGTCGACAATGACAGCGACTCTGAAGAGCAGGAGGGCGTGGAGCAGGAGGAGAAGGAGGCTGGGGTGGGTGGAGGGGGTGCTAGCGATTCAGGGCACACGATGCTCGTGCAAAGGCCTTGAAGGCTGTGTTCAGCGACGAGGTCTATCGGTGGATCTGCGATGTGGGCGACAAGGACCAGCCTCG